AGGTGGAGCCAGCAGGCAGCTCCAGGACATGCCTGGGACCCTGCTGCTCACACACATCCTGCCTGGAGGAGGTAAGGGGATGCCAGCTGGAAGCAGCCAAGGCCCCAAGAGCTCAGGCCAGACCCCACACCTCCCAAAGGGTGCCGCACACAGACAGCACGCAGCCATACCTGGCCACACGACACAGCAGCTGCTCCTGGGAAAACTGCAACGAGCCATCCCTGTCAGCACGGCCCCCACGAAGCCCCTTGGCTGCTCCCAAAGGAAGACCCTCACTGCGGACACACACTTCCCTGGGCTACTTGTGTGAGGGCTAGCAGGAGGGGAAGCGGTCAGCCTGGGCCTATGGCCACTTGAGTTTTGCTGAAAGGACGGTGCACTCCCCAATCACCTTGATTCCATCTCCAAGAACATCAATTGACAGGGTTCCGAGAACCCAGACCTCGTCTGCCACACTTGCTCCCATGCAATGTGGGGATGTGTATGCAAAGATGACTACAGCATCACTGGTGTGTTGCTCACAGACAGCGAGAACAGTCAAAGCCATGTACTCTACAGTGGGGAGGGAGTGTGCACAGTGCAATGCAGACACTCAAGAATACAAGAATGTCCAGACTAGGTCAGACCCAAGGTCCATCTAGCTCAGTATCCTCTCTGCCAACAGGGGCCAGTGCCAGGTGCCCCAGAGGGGGTTGACTGAAGACAATGATCAAGTGATTTGTCTCCTGCCATCCATCTCTGGCCTTTGACAAACAGGGGTCGGGGACACCATTCCTTACCCCCTAGCTAATAGCCTGTTATGGACCTTACCTCCATGAATTTATCTAGCTCCTCTTTAAACTTTGTTATAGGCCTAAGCCATCATAGTCTCCCCTGGCAAGGAGTTCCACGGGTTGACACACCACATGCCAAGGGGTCTTCAATCACAGTGATGTCTTCCAAGGTTTACAATCCATGGAGGATCACTTTACTCCGGGGGCGTCCTATATGCCACCATACACACAAGGGACAGATTAGGCCCAAGCAATGAGAAGGCCAAATGCACAAAAGGCACTAGGGCACAAGCTGTAGTATCCAATAAGGCAAAGGGCAACCACAGCTAGACCTGCTAAGGCTTTCAGTCCCTACAAGAGGTCCCAAAGCATGCAGCAGGAGAGAAATAACTGTCCAGGGAGATCCCTGTAAGCACGTCTCAAAGGAGCTCCAGCTCTGCCCCCCCCAGAAAGTCCTTGTGCCCTTTTACCCTCTCCAAAGTAGATCCAGGGTGAAGTTTTTGAGCAAGAGCGTCCCGCCAGTGTGGATGCTCTCCTGTGCAGAAGCACATGGCTTTTATGATGCACTGACACCAATGTAGGTGCTCTCTTGCGCAAATACTTTTGCACAAAAATACTGTTTTTACACAATAAGCATGCAGTGTAAACATAGCCTGGGAGCGGTATCATGATGAGTAGCTCTGCGAGCTCTCCTGGCTGAGTAAGATCAAAACAGCACAACAGCCTGTTCCCCTCCGTCTGCAGCAGCAGTCTGCCTGCCACTGTGCTCCCACATGTAACCTTGAGTGGGCTAGACTTCACTGCCCTTGTCCAGTGTCTAAAGAGACCATCACTTCCACTGCAGTACTGGAGACCAGAGTTTAGTCTGTAAGGAATTTCAGCAAGGATTGCGCAGTGTCAGCCTCTCTACATTCAAGTTCCAAAAGAATGAATTTAATTAAATAACTTTATAATTAAATTTTATGAAGAAACAAATAATCTAATGCTTACAACAGTACACAGCTATTTTATATCCCACAAATAATATCTATAATTACAATAAACATCAGTAAAGAGAAAACTAAAAGTGAAATCTGAACAGTTCAATCCACAAAAAACACAGTAAGAAAAGACTGAAAGGTCCCAAGAGCTTAGATTTGGTTCAAAGTCTCAGTTTGTGCCTCGGATATCAAATCTGCATCATATGCTGAGCCTGAAGTTTCTGTCCACTTGCTTGTAGGCAATCTTCAGTTGGAGTCCAGGCTGACTCTTCCTCTGCTACAGTCACTGCTAGGCAGCCAGATCACTGAATACTAGTCAGGTAGCTCACAAGTGAACAGACTTAAAGAAACCCTAATTACAAGAAAATACAAAAAAACCTGAACAAAATAGAAATGACTCTCTTTCTCCATTGCTACATTTACAGCGGAGCTGAAGAATCACACAGACTGAGAAAGTGAACTAGAACAGTTTGACTAAAATCAAAACAGCATTTAAAGCTGCCAATTAACACAGAAGTTATTTTCCCTCCCAGGTTCCCCTAGCTCTAAGTAGCATTGCCCTGATCCCTGATAGAGGGTTACCACCACCACCACCTGCTGCAAAGTGCTGCAGAGTGAGGAACAGCAGCCAGTTCTCTGCTCCTGGCTTAGCTTCTTCCAGCTCACACAGGCCTTAGAAAAGCATCGGCCCTGCCTGCTTGCTCATGAAGTCTGACCCCAAACTACTGGACCCAACTCCAGAAGCTTCTGAGCAGAGTGCTGAATCTGCACAGCAACAGTAACACAACTCACTCCCACTTCCCCCCACAGGGGTCTCTTAAAGAGATAGCTCCCTATTAAGTGCATGACATACACAGGACAGAACTGGAGCACTCCAATGATTTGCTCTTTGTTTGTTCCCCCAAATGGAGCAGCTCACTCAGCTGTCAGACACATCCAGGAGCTTTGAAAGGGAGGGGTGTGAGCCAGTAGAGCCATCAGGGCAGGCATTGTGGGATACTGGCAGACGCCCGTTTGGTCGACAGAACTAACAGCAGAGTCTACGCTAGCTCTTCGTCAACAAAAAAAAAGGAGAGAAAAAGAAAAGTCTCTTGTAGAGGTGGAAGTTTTTTGTCAGTGAAACTGAGCATTTTTCGTAACAAAAATCCCTGTCATTCACCACCACAGTGAGAGCTAATTTCCAATGCTATTGGCCAGAGACACTCACCACCACAGCACCTCTGGCCAATAGCATTGGAAATTAGCTCTTGCCAGTCCACAGGGGACCTCCCACTGGCTGGTGTCTCCCCCCTCACTCCTTCTCCAGTGCCAGACCGCATCGCCCCCAGACCACAGTGTCATGTTCAGGCCACTGCCCTCTGGCAGTGCCTACTACAGTTTCTCAGGGGGGGGGGGGAGAAGAAGGGAGGAAAAGGGGTGTGTTTATCAGTCTCTGCACTCTGTGGTCCACCCTTCCCAAAGAAGCCCCATTTCCCCTATACCCACCTTGCTTCAGTGACTCACTGCCAGTCTCCACCTACAGGGGCCAACTACAGTCTGAAATAGCCACTCATCACTGGCAAGGGGATGTTGCCCTGCTAGCTACCTGCAGCCCCGTACACTCAGGCCCTGCAGCCTGGGAGTGAAGCCAGGCCAAAGCTCCCCAGCACAGCCAGCCTGTCCACCCCACTTTATCTATAGCGCTAGTATACCCAAGTCTTCTCAGGCCCTGCAGCCTGGGATGTAGGTCAGGCTGGGGCTCCCCAGCTCTGCCTCAGAACTACTCAGAAAGCCACTACTTCCCTAGCAACCTGCCCCCCCAAACTAGAGCAAGAATTTATCTTTGCCACCAGGAGCCCTTATTTATACAGCCCACAGCTGGACCCTAATGGGCATTATCAGCCTTAGCTGTGGACTTTGCCTCTGGCCCTCTCCCAGGGCTCAGGTTTTAGTCTTAAAGGGCCAGTGAGGGGCAGATGCCCTGTCACAGTCCCATTACAGTGTTTATGTTCTCACTGTTTTGTCACCAAAAGGCAGGCTTTGACTGGACCCAGCGCCAGATAGCTCCTGCTTCGAGGTGAGGCAAGCATGAAGTGTATAGCCCATGTGCCATGTTTACACAAAGCAGATAACACTGCAAATGGATGTGCAAAGGAAAAAACATTGGTCTCGTGCCTTGTTGTAATTCTTTACTGTGTATAATGAAGACTGGAAATAATCATTTAAAATGTTTCATTTTCAGATTTTTTACTTCTGTTTAAAAGAATTTGAAATGTCAAGTCTTCTTTTTTCCCTGCTGTCCAGAGAGGGGGATTG